GTCGTGCTTGCATGCACCATTTTGTCTTTGAGATGTAATTAAAACTAATTCTAGTTTTTTCATGCTTTTGAACAATATTTTGATCAATGGTGTTGGACACTAAGATGTTTGAAATGAAAGACTTCTATCGTAGTTGTTTCAAAGATTATCTTTCAAACATATGTTCAAATTAAATTGCATGCTTTACACAAAGAAATAGGAATGATACCAAATGAACTAAGACCATCGAGTCGAATCAAACCTACTTGTGGCATTGTCGTCTTGGCCATCTTAACATCAAACGCATCAAGAAACTTCTTCAAGAAGGTGTTCTTGACTCATTCGAATTATAGTCGTTTGAAAATTGCGAAGGATGCTTATTAGGCAAGATGATAAAACAGCCATTCTCCAAGTTGGGAGAAAGGGCAAGTGACTTATTAGGTCTAATACACACGGATGTATGTGGACCAATGAGTACACCCGCAAGACAAGGTTACCGATATTTCATCACTTTCACCGACGATTATAGTAGATATGGCTATGTCTACTTAATGTCGAATAAATCTGAATCCTTTGACAAAACTGACAATCTAGATCTCAACCTGACAAAACTGACAATCTAGATGCTTTGGAAGCATCTAAGAAGATTGGTCAGAATCAAACAGACATTGTAAATGCTCAACCTATTACCCTTCCTAGGTCGCAACGGCAAAGATCTCAACCAGACAGATACCTCGGTATCGTCTTAACCGATGACCAGGACATCTTAGTCATGGATGGTGATGAGCCGGCGACATACAAGCAAGCTATGACGAGCCCCGACTCTACAAAATGGCAAGAGGCCATGAAATCCGAGATGGACTCCATGTCTGAAAATCAAGTCTGGGACTTGGTGAATTTTCTCGAGGGTTATACACCCACTGGTTGCAAATGGATCTTCAAAGTGAAGACAGACAAGGATGGAAATGTATCAATATACAAAGCTAGACTGGTGGAAAAAGGTTATAGACAAGTCCACGGGATTGACTATGATGAAACTTTTTCACTAGTTGCAATGCTAAAATCCGTCCGGATCATCCTAGCGATTGTTGCATATTACGATTATGAAATATGGCAAATGGATGTCAAAAACGCCTTCCTTAATGGAATTTTAGACGAAACTGTGTATATGACACAGCCAGAAGGTTTTGTCGATCGAGGCAACGCTGGAAAGGTTTGCAAGCTGAAGAAGTCCATTTATGGAGTAAAGCAAGCCAGCAGAAGTTGGAATCTGCGATTTGATGAAACCATTAGCAAGTTTGGTTTTATCAAGAATCCAGATGAATCTTGTGTATACAAGAAGGTCAGTGGGATTGATATTGCATTCCTAGTCCTGTATGTCGATGACATACTTCTCATTGGAAACAGCACAAAATTGTTGGAGTCCGTAAAGGGCTGGTTGGGAAAGTGCTTGGAGGTACATTAGGTTGGTGTATGCCATCATGTGATCTTTGAAAGGAATGGTGTCCTTCCAACAAGTGTATTCTTCCGATAGAGGGTTCAAAATTATTACGGAGCTAATTCTTCAGTAAGGTCAAGTGATCGGAATGCCTAGGTGGAGGCCGCTTCCGATCAGTAATATCAATGTACAATTGATGTTACAGCTTAATCTTAACTGAATCCTTCGGGTCGAACCCAATCGAATCACTAATCCGAGACGACGAATTAATCCGAAAGGATTTAATGAGTCAGCAGAGTTTTACGAATACAGACGTCGGATATCGAGCCTAGGGCGTTGAGACCGAGCGTCGCGAAATCACAAAGCAACAAGTATGAACATAGCCCTAGCATCACACTGGCCTAGCCATGTGGATGCTAGGCTAGTTCAGGCTAGCATGCACCTAGCATGGGTAAGCGCAAGCCTAAGCACACTAGGTGTGCTAGGCACACCATCGCAGCCTAGGTGCACCATCGCAGCCTAGGCGCGCCATGGCAACCTATCGCAGCCCTAGCATCATGCCTAGGCGCTATCGCAGCCCTAGCATGATGCCTAGGCACCATCGTTGCCATCGCAGGCACTAGGCGCACCTTGGGCACTATCGCAGCCCATCGCAAGTGCTATGCGCACCATAGCACCCCATCGCACCATCGCATCACAAGCACAGAACCATCGCATGGCTAGGCTAGTGCGTGTGTGCGTGTGCTTGTGCTTGTGCTTTAGCCCATTACATCATCGCAACAAGCATGCCTGCGCACATGCGTGCCTTCGCATGGCACTGCATCGCAACATGCGTGCTTGGGTGCTAGGCACCATAGCAGGCACCTCGCACAAGCACAACACCGTGGTAAGCCTTGTGTGCGTGTGCATGTGCGTGGAGGGCATCGCAGCAGCAGTAGCATGCGAGTGTGTGCGAGGCTGGCGCGCATGGCGGGCAAGGCAAGGGGGCTAGCATGCGTGGCTTGCTAGCAGCACGCATGCTGGCTATGCTAGCGTGTGTGCGATGGCGGGGGTGATGCGTGCCAGGAGCCAACACTAGCGCCTAGCTAGCAAGCAACATTGTCTGGCTAGCTAGCGAGCAGTAGCGCTGGGCGTGCTGTGCATGCGAGGGAGCTGCTAGGCAGCCTTGTGCTAGCTGGCTGGGCTAGCTGGCAGTGCTAGCTAGCACGCTAGCTGGCTGCCAGCCCAGCAGCCCTTAATGGCGGTTTTGTGAGGAGAGTGGGGACCAAGGCTTAGAGCCATGCCTTGGGGAGCAAGGCAATGGTCCCCCCCAAGGTTCATGGTCCTCACTTAACTCTCTCTACCCTTTTGCCACTTGTTGCCTTATGATTGCTTTTGCTTAATTATTTATTTTGGAATTAAATAAATTATTGCATTTGCACATGATCCCACATTGATCATGAAAAGGGGGTTCAAGTCCCCATTCTCTATAAATACCCACTTGATTGGGATTCTGAGAATACAACCTTGAGTGGAATTAAAAAGGCAACTCTAAGTAAGAGTAAACCTTTGATTCGTAAAACTCATAGTTATTTTGTCCGGGTCTTGACTAACCTTCAAGACTTAGGACGCTCGGGTTGGGTCGAGGGTACGATCCGTCGGAGATCTCGTGTTTTCGGGATTTTGAAGTAAGAGCTCTTTGGGAGAGAAGCACGCGACAAAGGTATAATTCTTGTTCTTAATCTTGTTTGGTTAAGTTTAATATGCTTGTTAATTGTTTTAATTAAGGGGCGGGTCTTGGTGGGTTTCCTTCCTCGTAGTGTCGGTCACTACGAAACCCTACAATCTTCTGGGTTGGTAGTGCCATCATATGCCCCTACCAACACATTTTTTACTTTGGCCGGCTGAGCGGCCTCTATCATTTCCTTAGAGAAGGCGGATGGCTGTTCTCCAAGTTTGAGCAACCTAAGTTGCCAGTCCAAAGGCTGGACATTCCTTGCTGCCTGACTTCCAAAAAGGGTGGGCTGCATGAAATATTGGGACTGCGGGACGTATGGTTGAGGGATATACGGGGTCGTCTGATGCTTCTGGGAAGCAGAACGAGAGGAGGCTCCGAGCGTCTGGCTCTCATAGTTTGATCTTGAATACCTCAGGGAGGTATTATGTGGGCTGTCCTGAAAATCAGACGTAGAGGCCGACTCTGACGGTCGGTCACTCTTCTTTTGCTCAAGCAACATTCGAGCATCAGAAAATGTTCTCTTTGACCCGTCCAGTTGAATATGACGAATGGGCTTTCTCTTCCCTGGTGAGGAAAAGCGATACTTAGTTAAGTCGATCACTGGGGCCCCCTTCTCCCTAGGCTTATGGTAAGGGGTTGCCTCCCGATCCTTTACAAGCTTCTTCCTCCCAGATTGGGAGGGTCTTCTAGCCGACTGTTCCTTTCTTTGGTGAAACAGGCATCCTCTTATTGATCAGCTCCTAGATCTCCCCTTTGAAGCTATTCATGAAGGTCATGAGTTCACTTCTAGTGATGGGGGCAGATCCCTCGGCCGCCTGTTAATGATCAAGCGACTGGCCGGCTGGTTTACTAGATCCAGCCAGGCAGTCCTCCCGTTCCCTCCTTTCGGTGGGACGGGTGCGTCGAGCTCTGAGGGTCCCGTCAGGGGCCGTGCAAGTCTCGACCTCGGTATCATTATCCGTATTCTGGTCAGTGTAGACCTGAGGGTCATCCATGGGACGCTTGTCACTTAGAATCGGTACAGACTATGATTCCATCTCGAAAGTACTCTCCCCACAGACAGCGCCAAAATGTTTTGGGGTTTTCTGGTGTCCTGCGGGAGAGTTACAATTCTGGGACTAGTACCCTTGCGCCTGTACCTGCAAAACAACGGATACTTCGGGTGGTGGGAGCTCCGCCTCCGACGATCAAGTTAGTACTTGTATGTGGAGTAAAAAAAGGTGCGGAAAGTAAAGGGCGATCTGGTTCCTCTAGGGGAGGAGTGATCAGGAAGTGCAATTAATTGCTAAGTCAGGTCTAGCAATTAAAAAGCACGTGTGTTTAGGTTTCTCTAGGTGAGAGTAATTAATTCTGAATAGTCTTTAGTGGAGGATTAATTACTGTATTTATAGCCTCAGGATGCGTGCCCAATATTAGGTTTAGGTCAATCTAGGGCTGATTGGGCCTTTCTCGGAAACCGGGCCTTGGTGGTCGTTCTCCTGGTGGGCAGATAGCAGGCCACGTGGCGTAGCGCGATTGGTCCATGCTGGACTGATTGCTGCTTGACACGTGTCAGGTCCTTGTTGGTCCAGGTGGCGGACACATGGCAGGACTTGATTGGTCCACGTGGCAGACAGTGATTGGGCGGGGAAAATCCCTAATCAGTTATGGTTTCATACCCTTCTCCTTTTCTTCACTTGGGGAATTAGAAAAGGAGGTTGTTTCATTGCTGAAGCGGGTTCAGAAGATCTAGATGACGCAAGACATTGGGGCCCGTGCTGCTGCTCATATATTACTAGGGTAGGATTTGCTATAGCTAGAGGAGTGGGGGCCCAGATTGTATCTCGACTTCCCACTAATTTTTTGTAAGTTGTATGACTTTGTCTGTTTTTGAGATATAATTTAAAAAAAAAAAAAAAAAAAAAGAATCAGACCGAGTCTGTACGCTCCAGCGAGCCACCGGCGAGCGTAGTGTGGTGTCCCCGGTCCCTCGTCGTCGTCCATTAGATCCAACGAACTTGATTTTGCGAAATTGAAATTGTTTGGTTGATTATGAACGTTTTGGTTCTTGATGGTTGAGCGGTTGGTTGTTGGTGGCCGGACCACTAAATAGTAGGGCCTAAATAATTGTGGAGAGTGAAAGTGGTAAGTTGAGGTAAATTTAGTTAGTTTTAAAACAAGAATATGAACATCTTTAGTTTATAAATGCGAGCGTTACCTGAAGATTCAAGGGTGACATTTGGTGTTCTACTTATTGGGTGTTTTTTTTTTTTTATCCCACCTCATTCACCCTTTGGGCTAATCCGAATTCGAGCCTCAATTCCAGGTGGTAAGCTTCCAACCCCTCCTAATAGTTGTTGCAAGGGATTAAACACGAAGTTCTCCCTACCAAATACAACCCTAATTCACCACTACATCAACAACCAATTGGTTAGGCTAGTTTATTAGGGAGATTTTGTTAGCAAAATTTGGCTAAGTAAAATTTATTCCTTAGTTACTATAGTTGTATATAGGGACAAATTATTCTTTCCTAATCAAGTTAGTTTCTCCTAAATAGGATGAGTAATAATTTTGGTGAAATTGTTGTGCAATTATGCAATTTTAAATTAAATTATAATAGTTTTATTATTGTTCAGTTGATCAAGTAAGAATGAGTGTTCAGGAATGAGGAATCAATGTGTGGCCAAACTCTTCATAGAATATACAAACCAAAATTTTACTTAAATGTCACAGCCCTCGTAAGAATACCAGGATATATACATCAACAATAGCTATTATAGTAGAAATTATAAGAGAAACAAGGCTAAAAGGAAAATTTACCAAAGTATGGCAATTGCTTTACACTAATTAATCATACTAAAGGATTACTATACCGAATGGAAGCGAAATTCTGCTCCCCAAGCTCAAAGAATGATTATGAAGCTAAATTTTTGTTTCTGTGCTTACAGATCCTAAATGGTTAGTCAAGACTTAGACAAGCACTGGATCTTCTATTCTCCAGTTACTTCAACAAGACTAGGCTTTGTGAGTACTCTTTCAAAAAACTCACGAATCTCTGGTACAATGCGCTGAATTAGGCGAGGGTACCTGTGACATGAACCAGTGCACAAGATTAATCCAATTAACACAGTTGTGTGAAGTTATACAATGTAGTTCTTGAAATCTCAGTTTCAGATTTCCAATGGTTACTTCATATGTAGAGCATGTCGCATTATTGTATTTCACATAAACATCAAGTTTGATGCAAATTGCACAACTGTGAGCATTTTTAACACTTTTTGTGCACTCAACCAAACATTGCCAACTCCAGAAGATCTAACAAGATGAACTCTGCATCCAATTCAACAGTTCTGAGCCATTAAAAAAAACTGTACGCAAATGATGTTACCCTCACAATAGGCAGATTCAAAGCAGTTAATTCTAAAGCAAACAAGAAACCAGTTGTCGTAAACAAAAATCCCACATGGATGCTTACTGTGATTGCAAGACTAACACTACAAGTCTACAAATTTGTTAAAACCTCAACAGCTAAAACTCCAATAATATTGTAACAATACAACAAGTTTTTCTAACAGAAAAATAATTAAATTATATATTTGCAGCAATATAGTTCTGACTTTTATCACAATACAAGTTCACAAAACTCTTATACAGGCAGCGAAAATACAAGACAAGCAACATTCTACAGACTGTGTGATGAATCCTTACCAGGGCTTGGAACTTAGTCTATCAAATTGCTCCAGGATAAACAAGATGCATTTATGCCTTAATGAAACAGCATTATATGCCTCTGACAACTCATACATGAGTGTAACGTTCTCCACAGAGATATCCTGAAAGTTTCAGATACGTTTTTGAAACTCATGGTTGTTAGCTACTTGATATCCAATATAAGAATAAAAAACTTGCTAACTCAATCTCACGCATACCAGTGCAATGGTATACTCGCAAAGCCGTTTAAGACCATCAAGTAGATACTGGTCAGCAGCTCTAAGCAAGTCCTGAGCAACATCCAAATTGACATTTACAGAGCCTGTATATATATATCTGCAAACCCACAAAACAAGATTAGCAACCTCCACAGGGCCCAATTTCATTCCAATAAAATTTGACGAGAGAACCTCACCTCATCATTAACTCAAATACACTCCATTTTATATTTGGAATCTCTATATCTTTAGCATCCTTCTCCTGCAATCAGTCACACGAGAATTCAATCAAATCAAATACTGTATGCGTTGATTTGACATTAAAATACATCTGTTTATTAAAACAAGTAGATTGTAATGATGTCAGAAAAGATGCATCTATAACTAGTGAACAGAAAGCTACTCAGATTATGGTGCACTTACCCGATAACCACCATCAAACATTGCACGAAATGCATCAGAAGAGGCAAGAAGGCATATACGGTGAGCATAAAATCTCCTGCCTGAAAGTAAACAGAAGTATAGCTAATTAGCTACTAAATTATATTTATCGTTTGAAAAATTAACATGTGCAGAGTACATGAAAGAAAGATATTTTACCTTCTACAAGGAAGGTAACATCAGACAATGTTGAATTATTTACATATTGCTCACCCAAATACACCTGCCCATACAAAGAACCAAGACTGATTAATAGGCATCATAACCAGAATAAACGAAAATGAGTCTATAAAAGCAATATAGATATCATAGAATGAGATCAATGTGTATAGCAAAGAATATCTTAAAAAGAAGCAGCTTTCCAGCTATTTTTCACAAACTGCTGATTCATCAAAAATACTATATTGTAATTGATAAAGCCTGATAGCACACACCTGTGGAGTTGGTGATGGAGGAGCAGCATCAACTGGTGAAAGTATATTGGTTTTGCTAGCCATCTTGTACAAAGCTATTGAACCATCTTGCTGTTGCTTAATACCTGAAGATTCAAGAAGCTCCAGGAGCAAATCCAAACCTGTAAAGAATATAGCCAAAACATTTTCGGAAAATAAATAAATAAATCCAAATCCAAACAGAGAAATATAGTCCCTTCATATTGTAATTAAATAAAAAATTAATAATTAAAAATAAGCAGTGTTGCAGTGGGATAATAAGTGTTCTATTGAAGACGTAACCATGACCTGGTAAAGGAGGCCATACCAAATCATGGGTGTGCTCATTAGCCAAAACATAAACTGAAATTACCATTGTTGTCAATGAAAATCCTCCTCTGATGTTCTGATGAACAAAGGTGAGCAAGTGCAATAGCAATTCGTCTTTGAACAGGTTTATCAGCAACCCGCATGATGTACAACAGATGGTTTAGTACCTATTTATATATTTCATGGAATAAAGAATATCAGAAAGACTACATTTAACTATTTAAGTGACAGATTGAACTAGACCTGAGATAAATGGACGAATCCTTACTCTTCCTTGGATCTTCTCTTCGATTCTCTTCATAGTCTTTGTCACACAATCCTTGGTTGGCTGCAGATGTGCCAATCAAACTAGTATAAGAAATAAAATAGCAGTTCTCAATTGAAAATAAATCCTGGACATAAAGGAGCGAGAGGCTATGATTGGAAGTCTGAAAACAGCCATAATGCACAATGCCTTCTCCAGATTGCTAAACTAAATTACCTATAGCTCATACAGATTCAACTACATGTTTCTTTATATATCTTAATCTTTACTGTTCAATGTTAGCACTTTCCAAATTGTGGTATTAATATAAATAAAGATTTTTTTCCTATTTTTTTTTTTACTTGTTTATATTATTTATTATTTTAAGGGATTCTTTGCCTCAATTGTGTCTTGAAAATTTGAATTTGAAACTAGCCTATTCCCAACCCTGTCAATATGTTTATGCGACATAATCTAGGCCAAATCATGTCAACATGGCTATCAAGGCTAGGTGATGAGTCATTGAGTCCAAGCATCATTGGTCATTATAACTTTTATGAGCTAACTTAAGGCCATTATAAAGTAATTTTCCAAGTCCAAATATGTTTAAGCACTAAATTTATCAATTAGACAAATGAGACAATATATAGTGCTTAAATTCAATCAATTCAAGTAGAATTGTCACCAAACTCACCATTCAGATGAGAAATAATTTGGATGGAATTGGCTTTTGGCAGTACTGGGAAGAAGCAAATGAGTCTAAAGAGGCTAAAGAGCTTGAACATACATCATAGATATGGTGGCATTATAGAAGATTATGATATGATCAGTTCTCTACTGCTGAATTGCTACAATCATGTTTAGCGGATCATAAATTGAATAATGTACCAAAAATTGCAGCATAGGAAAACAGCAAAGAAGTCCTAGCGATAGAAAAGATTCAAGACAAGTGTATGAATCTCAAATCTCACATTGAGGGAAAGGATGCGATGGGGGGAAAAGTACAGCAAGCCTACAACCTAATTCATTTCAAGCAAAGTTGCACACCTTCCATTCACATTGAAGGTAAGATATCTATACATTTTTTATATTAGATACTAAAAATGACTCCATTTAGAATATCTACAAATTGTTATCATATTTTAAAGATATTCTAAAGTATTTTATTAAAGTAGAATCGGCAGCTTTATCATTTTATCTTATGTTATGTAAACATCACCCTCTCTGTCCCTAAATAAAGGTTTCATTCTCCCAAATATCTTGTAACTAAATGAAGTCCTAACTCATTTAAATAATATAATAAATTATTTTGGTTTCATCTTTTATTCTTCTATTCTCCCTCATGATATTTCTTCTAAGTGAGTGCCCCAAATGCTCACTATCTCTTAGTACTATCGAAAAACATTAAACTAAAATAGATTCACTACTTTTTTTTGTTTGCATTTGATCAACTAAACCCCAACCATTTTTTCCCTTCAAAAATACATGTACAAATGGCATACGGGAATTTTAGAACAGACAGAAACCCACAACCAAAAGACCCAAAATTTCAATAGAAGCATTATCTGACCATACCTGAACTATAAATTCCCCTTCCTGGAGTTTCTGAACACCACCAATTTTAATAAGATCTGCAATATTATCCTATCATACAGACCTGATGAGCTGATTGTACAGAAAAGAATATCAAAATGGAACAAGCCAGCAAAGCATTTTCCAACAATACCTCATTGTCTGCAAGGCCATATAAAGCAAATGCAGCATTATGCTGTAGGGGACCACTTTTTGAATCAAGTAGCTTCAACAAGGGCATGATACCACCACATTGAACTATACCAGCTTGATTATGTGAATCCTTCAAACAAATAAAAGTAACATTCCATTAAGTACCAAGGCACCATAAAATAAGGGCTGCTTTGACAGAATAAGACATCACAAACAGCATACAGGGCAACTACTACAGAGAAAAGGCTGGTATTATAAAGATAGAAAGCGCAAAGCGAAGAGTAAACACAGGCAGCATACCTGAGCCAACCTTCCAAGAGCAAAAGCAGACATTTCCATAAGCTGAGCATCAGGTGAATGGAGCATCTCGATCAAAGGTGGGACAGCACCTCTCTGGACTATGTGTACCTACATAAATATTATTGGTTAAACCACTATAACAAACCTATTCAGAATAAAAAAAAAATTGTCAAATGAAGGTAACCTTTTTTAATTGCAACTAGAGAGCTAACCTTGGAATCTGAATCAGCAGAGGCAAACTGTCCAAGGAGTAAAGCTGCCTCTCTTTGGCTCTCACAACAGCAGGAGCTGCATCAAGTAGACAATATGAAGCAGGTAACAAGATAATTAAAAAGTGAATAAGTAACTTTGGGCATAGGACTAATACACATTACCTGAGCAGCCTGATGACAGGTTGCACGGCACCAGCTTGGAGAACATCTTTCTTTATGTTAGGAGATGAGTGAACCAAATTCCCAATGACACCAATCTACAAAGTTGGACATGACCACCATAGTGAATAACTAACAACAACCCACATTATATTAAACATACAGCTTTACAGCCTATTCTGAAGAACAGTTGAGCACTAACCGCTTCATAGTGAATAGCTGGGTCCTCAGAGCGAAGCATTAATATTAGGGTAGGCAAAGCATTGCATTCTACAATCTGCAGATACAAAAAAGCTATTGGTTAGGTACTTAGATTATCGCTTGCCCTTACAAAGCAGAATTTGGCATGGACCATAGTAAGCATATGTACTTGATTTTTATTCTCATCATTTTTGAAAGCAAGTGTTCTTAGAGCACCAGCTGCTGCTCTTTGGACTTTGACATCAGTAGAATCTAAAAGTTCAACAAGTGGCGGAATGCCGCCTTCAACCCTGTGCAGAAATAATTCAAAATGTCACATTATAGCAAATACGTCTCTTAAAAATGGTGAAACAGCTGGAGACGTGTAATATGCTACACACCTGACACAAGATTTGATGCTATGATTTTCATGAGCCAGGTTAGTTAAAGCATCGGCTGCTCTTCTTACAGCACCACAGAGAGATCGAGAATTACAGCCACTTTTATGCCTTTTTATAAGAGCGACAAGATGAGGCAAAACACCCGCGTCAACTATAAGTTGTTGATGTTCTGGCTGTGAAATTAACCAAAATCCAAATAAGACAGAATTTATCAAAACAAAAAAGTCCAAACATTAATTGCAGCCATGTTATTCAACATTATAATACAGCTCAGGCAAACGAGTCAAAATCATAATCACCGATACCTCTTAGGGTATTAACAAGTAATTTAGACCTCGAATTCTGACATGGTATAAACATGCAAAACCTACCGAATCCATCAAGGTCTTTTACAGAATCGGCCCGATAATTGCAAAAACAACAATGTGATAATACATACAAAAACAAGACAGAAACATATAAACAAGGTATATGTTTGACTGTTTTTACTCAACTGAACCACACAAAATAACAACAGCCAAATAAGGTTCCTGATATTATGCTATTAATTGCAGAGAATAACTATTATTTTAGAACAAAATTAAGAAATAGAGATTTCGAAAGGCAATCAAATTAGTAACCTTAGCAGCAATAAGACCTAGCGCGAAAGCACTTCCTTTCTCAACCTCGTGCTCAAGAGGCTTTGAAACGCCGTCGTTTGGTGGCGACTGAAGATGCATCACTAAAGCTGGCACAGCTCCACAATCGACTATCAAACTCGCCAACTCCTCTGAAAAAAAAAATTAAAAAACACAAAAAAATCGTATTAAAACAACAGTAAAATCAATATGATTATGATTAAATGCAAAGTACATCAAATAAAAAAAAATAAAAATAAAAAAAATCCTGATTTTTTACCATTTTTGGCGAGTTCGGAGAAAAAATGAGTAGCGCGTTTGGAATCGGCACGATCGGAATCAGACCACGAGAAGGAGCGATGAAGAAGATGAACATACGAATTAATCTCGACTATCAGATCTTGATGATTCGGTTGTTTCTGCGTAGAAGAAAGATCGAGCTTGGTTTGACGAGTTTCATGGAAGTCTTCTTCAAGCTTACGCTTCAAGCTTCTGCGCGCGCTGCCTGATCTTCGCTCGCTGCGATCCATGGCAATGGCTGGTAAGAAAGAGAAGAGTGGGAGGGAGGGAGGGGTATTGAGGAAAATTTGATAGATAGAGAAGGGTAATTTGGGAAAAAGGAAAAAGTGAAAGAGAGGAAGTTTTATTTGGGTATGAAATTTTTTGATACGGAAATGTGATTATGTCGGTTTTTATATAAACTTGTGTTTTTTATGAGGTCAGCAAATGAGTAAACGCGGGGTTATTTAAATTTTGAGGAAACTTTGCGCTCCCGCCTTATATTTTCACTTTCCCTGTCTGCTTTTTCCCAATTTTCTCCTTGTTTAATTTTTTTTTTTTAAAAAAAACACGTTAAATTTAGAAGTGAAATCAATCCATTAACTAAAGGTTCATTTGACATCACTGTGATTTTCTGTTTTTTGATTTTTTGTTTTTTAAAATCATATGATATATGTATGTAATGAATAAAAAGTTAGTCAAACTTATTAAAATCATTATAATTTTGAAAACTGACAACAGAAAAGAGGAAATACCTTTTTCTTGTTTCCTGTTTTTGGTTTTTTGTTTTTAAAAAATTGGAAACTAAAAACAAAAAAGTAATGCCAAACAAGCCCTAATTGTACTATGTACTCATGAAAAAGGTTTGTTTCGGGGTTTTTTGATGTCCTACGGGAGAGTTACAATTCCGAGACCAGAACCGGACGCCTGTGCAAAACAAACGGAGCCTCCGAGTAGCTGGAGCTCCGCCTCCAATGGTCAAGTTAGTACTTGTTTAAGGAGTAATTAATGCGGAAAGAAGGTAAAGTGTTTTCTCTAGGTTTGAGTAATAATTGAGCGTAACCCCGTTTAATGAGGATTAATGTGCATATTTATATGCCTTGGAATGCGTGCCAATTCCTAGGTTTAGGTTAAACCTAAGGCTAACTGGGCTTTTTCCAAAGATTGGGCCTAGATGGCCGGTTGTCCCATGTGTCATGGGGACAACACGTGTCGTGTCGTAATTGGTCCATGGTGGACTGGCCACTGCTTGACACGTGGCAAGCTCCTATTAGCCCATGTGACGGACACATGGCGGAACCTGATTGGTCCACTTGTCAGATGGTGATTGGTTGGAAAAATCCCCTAATCATTTGCCCCTCACAAGTGGCATATGACTGGTCGCATGTCACCTGTGACAGGTGTCGGCCTGTAACAGGCGACGGCATGCTACAGGTGTCGCTTGGTGAGAGACCGGGAGTTTTTCCCGCTCATTTTTGAATTTGGAGAGTCCTTTCAACTTCCGTTTTCCCCTATATAAGGGCTGGAGGTTTCAAGTTATTTTTCACACTTGTGCAATTTTTGTAAGAGAACACTCAGACCCCTGAACCTGCTCTGACAAACTTTTGACTTTGTTTCCTACCGCCTGCGCTGACAAGCCGGCTGATATTTGGATTACTTTCCCAGATCTTCGTCAACTTCTCAATCGTTCAGGTAACCGTCTGTTCTCTTATTCTTTTACATTTCTTTATTTTTCTCTTTGAAATGGTATCTCGGAAGCACATAACACGACCTAGGTTAGTGATCAGCCGGTCACCGGGGACGACTGAGTCTAGGACTAGGAGTGCCGCCTGCCCCTTTTCGAACCAATCTTTGCCCTTTATACAAAGTCCGACTGTCTTTGTGTCTATGCAGAACATAATGGCCAGAACAAAAAGAACATCTAGGATCACCAATTCGGACGGCTCCTCCTTCCAGGTGCCGATTAGTGAAACATCTGACCGGACGCTAGATGTTGAAATGAACCAAGGCGGCTCGGCTGCCGATAGCTCTGAGGGAGGGATCAAGGTGGTCCCCTCCCATTTTACAGTAGACATGTCCACTCATTCTCTCACCCCTTCTGAAGGAGAGGAGGCGGGCCCCTCCGGGAGAGGGGAGGAGTCGGACTCTTCCGAGAGCGAGTCTGATTCCAACTCTTCGGGTCGCCTTTCTCCTGACTCCGAGGAGAGGCACAACCGCCTACTTGAGGCGAGACTCTCCCATACAGTCGAGAAGGGGGACAATTGGGCGGAGCCATCCGCCACTCAAAGAGAGCAGAACACCCCTTACTACTGCACCGTTCCAAAAGGTCGAATTAAGGCCATGTCAGAAAAAATGGGCAGCTTCATAGCGGACCATGTAATGGGTCCTGGCTTTATAGTTTTTGCGCCAGATCCGGAAGACACAGTTGTCTGGCCGGCTGGGACTAGTTATGATAGCTGGTTGCTATGAGGCGACCATTAGGGCTGGTCTACGTTTCCCTTTACATCCCGTTGTTCAACAAATCCTTGACGGATATGAGTTGGGGTTATGGCAGTTAGCCCCAAATTCCTGGTTCAACATCCTCGGCTATGTAGCTGGATGTGAAATGTATGGGGCGAAGCCGAATTTCGAGGCATTCGCCCATATGAACTATCTCAGTCGGACCCCTAAGGCAGGCGGTACCGGCTGGTTCCAATTGACGAGCCATAGAGGCTTCCTCATGACAAGAGGTAAAGAGAACAAATGGAAGGATTGGAGAAGCACCTTCCTTATCATTGAAAGTCCAGACAAAGTGCTGAACAAACGCTTCAATAGGTGGAATAGGGACCCTCTTCTTCTAGCAGGCGGTCGCAGCATGCCGCCTGTCCCTCACAAAGCTAAAAAAGAGATTATGGACCGAGGACTCTTTAAAGTAGAGACCAGGGCCAACTCTACTACAGGGGTACGAGAGCAAGTACCCCTGAACTGTGTCCCAAGTTACAAATGGCTCTATGATGAGTACTTCCTGGCCGCTTGTGGCCTTAGCAGTCGGTGCTCTAGAGGTAGCCGACCTGTTGAATATGTGCTCTTGTTAAAGTATTTTTGAACTTTTCTAACTTTCACGTTTCTTTATGCAGCTGAAGCCATGAGCAAAATAACCGCCTCCAAAACAACGGTTGCTCTGCTGCGAGCATCCGTCATGCAACAACACTCATCAGCTGATTCTCCCACCAAGGAGACGCCCTTAGTGAGTTCCCAGCAAATTACTTTTTTTTTAAAAAAAAGGTTGGGTTTATACAAATATTAACCATTTGTCTTTTTGCAGACGGGCACACCAAGAGCTTCCTCCTCCCAACAGCCGGACTCCAAAGCTCAAAAAACGACAGTGGGGAGTTCGCCTGGTTCTGCCAGGAAACAGCCGGCTGAAAAACAGCCAGCCACCCCGTCTCAAAATCCCAGTCGGCCGCCTAGAAGTATGAAACTGCTCTTCTAGACTTTGACTCATTTTTCTTTCACCTTCATGCCTAATGTTTCTATTTCCTTTTGATGCAGCCGGCCCTCAAGAACCGGACCTGGTCGAAGTGGCCAAGTCCATGATTAAAGTCGTCCCTCCAGCAGAGAGAGACGCGGTCCGGGGTGTCGGCACCCTTGACCTAGATGGTATTTTAGGGCTCCTTTTTGAGGTATCCTTAGCGTATTTTTGCTGTTTATTTGTTCATGTCGTACATAATTTTGGAGCCTGACGCCCGCTTCCTCTTACAGTCCTTGCTGCGAGTACACGGTCTTCGCAGGCCAATTAATGCGAAGAACAAAGAGGTAAAGGCTGCTAAAGCCATGGCCGTCTCTGACTGTGACAAGGCAATGTTTCAAATTGCCCAAAATGAAATTTTGACAACTGATATTCTCTATTATCAGGCGCAGTCTACTTCCACTATTAGGACTGAGTTGGAGGCGGCCAAGAAGAAAAACGATCAGCTGGAGGTGACCATCCAGAACCTTAAAGATGAGCTAAAGCCTCCTAAGCTGAAGTTGATCCAGTACGACGACTTAGAGAAATCTTTGGAGCGCGTCAAGGATCGCCTGGCAAAGCAGGAGAAGAGCCTTACTGAAGAGCTCTCGGCCAAGGCCGAGCAAAAGAAGAAGGATTTGGTTCGAGACATGAGGAGGACTCGGCCCAAATCCAGCGCATGACCTGGACTCGCCTCTTTCCAAACGCCGACTTCACTTCTTGGGAAAAACAGTTTCGCCAATGCTCTGAAATGTATAACCAAGAAGTCCTGCTAGCGGCTGCCGAGGATGATGCGCTAGAGGAGGAGCCAATAGTGGACTTGGTGCCGATTGGGGCAGATGCGCCTAAAAAGGGTGCCGAGACAAGCAAGAAGGATGCTTCTTAGAAGCAGGCGTCTCGTGTTGGTCAGGCGGCTGTTGTTGTGGAAGATCTGCCCCCATCTTAAAGCTTATGTCTTCTTTTTTCTTTTCTTCGGCCTGTGTGCCGTCTGTTTCTGTATCCCTTTTACCCGGCCAAGGGGTTAGGGTCTTTGAATATTTTGCCGGTCTTTATGGCCGGTTTATTTTTGTATCTTTTTACCCGGCCAAGGGGCTGGGGTTTATGAAAATTTGTGCCGGTCTTGATGGCCGACTGTTAATATGAATTTGGCGACCATCTTTCGGTCGTCTTGATCACTGTTTTTTGCTAATTGAATTTTGTTTCATACTTATTTTGCCAAGTGTAGAGGGTCTTTTTGTCCGCCTGCACTTCATATCGACTGTTTCGGCTAAAAAAGTTAAAAATTATTGCTCAAAAATTTTGAGCAAGTATTAAGTACCGACGGCCTATGCCCTTGGACGACTGGTTGTCTTGGTTCCAAGTTAGGCAATTAGTCGGCCATTTACTTAGTCGGATCCCAATGCATTTTAGGAAACTCGTTTGGTTTGTAAGAAATACATCTTAGCAGGGATCATGGTATGAGAGCGTTTGGTTGCCTTTGGACAGGCGAACTCGACATACCTTTTTGAACTTGAGTAGTAGGGTCACCAGGCGGCGAAGGCCGACTGTCTCCCTTGATTTGTCAATCTTTGTTGGCTATTTACTCAAGGTGTGATAACTTGGTAAGAATAAGCAGTTTATGAAAACCTTTTTAAATTTCAAACCAAGTTTTAAGGAGTGACTATAAGTAAATATGGACAGTACCTAGTCGCCGTCACTGTTGTTTGAGTAGTAGAGGTACCAGGCGGAGGAGGCCGGCTGAACCCCTTTATTCGCCAATGTTTATTGGCTATTAACTCAAAAGGTACCGGCTGTACTTATCCCAAGTAGTATAGTCGGTTATCCGACGCGGATGTTAACTGCTAACACTCGTTGGACTAGTGAGAGTTATCCTTGTCTCAGAAACGGCTACGTGGTTGTCTTAGTAGACAGTCGTATAGGTGTCGTGTATTTAATTTATAGAACAATGTTCCACCCAAAAGCGTGCTGCTCTCTGCGACGAATTTCATCCGAATGGATGCCGCCGGACGCCTGCTATGATTTTGGGATAGGTCGGATTAGTTTTTAAAGGTTGGATCAGTTGGCTTAGCACCTGGTCTGATCAATTCGGCCATAGGCCTTAGATAGTTCTTGATGAACTATGTATGGGAGAGTAGCCGGTTGTATAGAACAGGCGGCATGCTCCTCTTAATTGAACGTGTATATAAAAAGCAT